AGCCACTATGTAAATGATATAGCTATGGTGTAGCTTTATATTGGTTACTCAAGAGAATACTCTTGAGGCTACAAAGGATTAATTTCATTCACTTTGCTCTCATAGTTTGTAATATGGCTTCTTAAAATCTGCATATTAGTTCAAAATAAAATATTTCCCTTTCTTCCTTTTTTACCTCTAGATTGCACAATTGGATATGACAGTTCGTGAGCATAAGGGAGAAATGGAGCAACAAATAATTCAATTACAGTGTAATTTAGAGAAATCTGAGTTGGAAATTAAGGAATGCAATAAACAGGTAATGCTTCTTAATCAAAAACACAGTTTCCCTAACAAAGGGCAGCTAATTCTATGAGAGAGTCTGGTCCCGGGGCACAATAGCTGGCCAGATTTAATCTAGAAGATAAAACCTCTTTTTTATTGTAGGGAGAGGGAAGGAATGTACCAGTAAAAATACATGTTTGTCAATTAAAACTATAAATTTTGTCAGGCTATAACAGTGCAAAAATGAAAAATGATTTTTCACTTGCTATGATACAGCTCCCAAACTGCTCTTTTAGTAAAGGAAAATGCAGACAAAATAAAAAAATTGACAGAGGAATCCAAAGTCAGGATCAATACTGACAATGTTTGGGAGTTTTGTTTGTTTTGTGGGTTTGGTTTTTTCTTAAATACAATTGTTCTGACTTTGTTAAAACATTGGTTCTGATTTAATTGCATTTTCTGTTCAGATTGAGAGCTTAGAGAAAAAACTCCAGCATTCCAAAGATGAGCTTCGTGAAAAAGAGTTTGAATTGCTCCAGAGAGATCAGGAAATAAATCAGCTGAAGAAAAAAAGAATGAAAGAAAACAACATAGCCTAGAAGCTCTTGGAAAGGTAAAACATACCTTGGATAGACAACAAATGATCAATTTTTAATGCCATTACTGTAGTGCCTGGAAGAAATTATATGGTGTCTCTTTAATGTGTTATTACTTCTGCCAGAATCATTGTATTCTTATCCCCTAAGTTTAATTCTTTTAAAATTACAGATTTTATGGCAAACTCTTAATTGTCTGCTTTCTGTGGAGAAATTTGGTTCCTGATTGTCTTTAGGCACCTGATTTTCTGGCTATGGATGATATGGTCTTCCTTGAAATGAAACAAAGCAATATGCTGTGTATGACTTAGGTACCTATCTTGTGGAAATGATTGCATCAAAGGCCCCTGAGCTGCAGCATGCTGTAGGAAGGAGAGTGAGAATGTTTTGGCCTAGGGAATGGGAGTGTGTGGAGGGACTTGAGAAGACAGCTGGCTTTGTGAATTACACAAATCTTGGCTTTGGTGCATGAATCAGTCTTTACAAGCACAAATGGGACCTGAGATAAACAGGCTTTTGCAGAAGTAAGTTCAGTCAAGGATGATTCCAGGCTAGAGCTGAACACCAAAGCCAGGACGGCCCCTGTTACTCTGGCTATGCTGCATTTATGTGTTTGTTTTCCCCAGGGTGAGGGATCAGAGAGGCCTCATTTCTGTGTGAACACCAAAGGCCTTTGGTGTTCCAGATCATGAGGGCTTGGCTGTGTCCCAGCTGAATATGAAGTTTATATATTGGTTTCACTGCAAATTAAAGCAGTGTCAGCTCTTCCATCTTGAATTCTGTTAGGCTATTGATGATGCCCAAGAACAGGACAGTGACTGCTGCTGCCTTTCACACGTACCATTAACAATTTCTAACTTTTCCTAAAGGATGATTCTGAAGGAAAGAATTTCCTAGCTAGCCCCTGTACAATTGCTGACTAGATTCTTTCATTCCAGACAAATTGTCTTGTTTTTGCTAAGGAATATCAGGTAGGAAGAGGCCTAAGAATGATATAAGACAGGCTTTGAAAATAGACCTGCTCTGGTCGTGTTCCAACACTTGGGACAAGAAAATGAAATTTTATTTTCATTATAGTGAAGTAGATAAAAAACCACTGGATTTTGGAAGCATTCTGTGTAAACATGAAATATGTTGCAGAGGGCTTCTGGCTTCATTTACAATATTATATGGTTCCTTCTTTGTTTAAAAATTAGGTATATTAACATAATGTAAGAAAACACTTTCTCCATTAGTAGCACATTGCACACTGATTGACCAGACTTGCACAGAAATTTTCTGTCCTAGTTCTAAAAAATAAATTGCCTAATCTATTTAGGGAAAAGGGGTGGAGAGGCAGTGTGTATGTCTTGCCCAGGGGTACAGTCTGTCTCATTCTTTTTCTTCTTAATACATTGCCTTCCTTGCTTATTACAGAAAATATATTAGTTCAGGGAAGGAATTGCTGGGAGGGTTGATTTGTGTTCTGGTCCACTCTGTCCCTTTGGGACTCATAAAATAACCAGGTCACAGAGTTTTCAATTGAATTATTCTTTGTTCTTACTGTGCTTCAATCTGCAGTGAAAATTTTGTAACAATACAGCACTTGGCTACCCTTAGAAGCTGTAAATATTCCAAATAAAGGAACCAAAAATATCTTGCTGAACACTAAGAATGGCTTTTTTCATTTTTTCTGGGAAATTGAAGTAATTTTCTTTATTAAAAAAAAGGCAGATTGGATTTACAGCAAGCTAATTTTTGTGACCATAGTTCCTTCTGAAATGAGAAGTAAAATTGTATTAAAATGATACAAGAAAAACTCAGTGCTTACAATGATTGACTTTTCTAAAAAATTATTTTTACAACATTTTTGAAAAACTGCATAGCATTAAAAAAATAAGAATTACTGTAATCTTTCATTTGATAGCTGTAAGCTGCTTATATGCTGCTTACAAGTGTTTCTGTACAGTATTGTAGCATTCCTCATGAAGAATAAATGCCTGGCTCAACATAGACAGATAAGCAGAGGACCAACATAACCTCTTTTAAAATTTATAATTAACAAGAACCTTGGTATAATATGATGTGAAATAGTAGTGACTGATAGTCTCTTTTTATGCTCCAGCACTAACTAATGTAAACATGGCTGCTGTGTATATATCCCAAAGACACCTCAAACTCTATTTTTTTCTATAAATGAATAATTAGTTCCAGCATATTCACTTGTTTTTAAAAGGAGGGGTAGGGGTAGTGAAGCTCTAGAAACTAACAAAAACCCCCTAACCTCAAACATGCTGTGTTTGGCTGCATTTACTTCTGTACACAGCTTACATTTGTTTTGCTGTTTTTCTTGCTCAGTGTTAGTGGACATCATAGGGTTTTTCCCTCTTAATGCCTTGATGCTGTTGATGGGCTTTCTGCAGACACTTCCTGAACTGTTAGCAGCTTAAGAACAACATTGCAATCCAACATGAAACCTTAAGCCCCATGCAGAGGAGTTATTTCAAAAGACAATGTTCATTAAAACTGTACAAAATTCTTACAGGGATTTGCATAGGAAGATTTCTTATCAAAAATATTCTACATAGCATTTTCCTTCTTATCTGCTGGAACTTAATATGGTATTGGAAAATTTGTAAGTTGTGCTCTTGGAGAAAGCAAATGCACTTCAGTTACAAGAACAGTGAACAAAAATGCATCAATAACATAAATCAGAATTTGAGATGGCAGCCATGGACTTGAGACCTGCTCTTAGTTTTCTTTAATTTGTAAGCTAAAGTTTAATAATGAAAAGTAACATGTTGGTACAAATGGATTTAGCTATGGTAATCACATATTTTGTTTCAGGTGCAAGAGCTGTGAAGGAATGAGTGCGGCTGCCCAGGGATGCTGTTGCTGGCATTGTCACTGTGCATTCCAAGAGGACATTTTAAAGTTGTATTTCTAAATAAGGCATATAATTATTTGTACTGAAGCAGATGACAACCTTTTTATTTTTCCAGCTGTTATTGAGATTATTGCCTTAATTGAATATAATATTAATTTATCTTTTATACTTCAGAATAAAATTTATTTTTTTAAGTTGTAGGGATTAATTTCAGCTGTCATATTTTTCCAAGGTTTTTAGATTATATGTTTGTTTAATATCTCACTTCTAACTAAAAGCACAATGGTACTATCTTATTAGCAATTTTTGTGTGGGACTATTTTATCTTTTTTTGTACCAATGCAGCGATGCAGACACAACATATTATTAAAATTTACCTGTTTGTAAGATGTTTTGGGACACTGATTTGATCATAGACACTGGCAAAACCTGCTTGCTTTACTCCAAGCAGTATCTTTAAGATGCACAGTGTTGTGGGACAGGGCCATAAAGCGTGAGGTTGTTTCTTTTGATATTTTTAATCAAACAAAAATCCATACAAAAATTCCCATTGATTAAATTCACATCATAACTATGCATTCTAAAACATATTTATTTCCAGGTTTCTAAAAGTATTACACAATTAAGCTTGTATGAATGGCTAGTGGCCCCACTTTTATATTTACATAAGCATCAGAAACTGCAAATATGCTTTTGAGGCATCAGTCTAAGTCTGATTAATGCACACAGGATTTATGTGCATTAAGACATGTGATTCATACTTCAGAAATCAAGCTACTAAAGTTATTTAATGTAAAGAAGAGGAAAAGAACTGAATGTATTTCAGTTTGAATACCAGGCCTCAGTTAAGTGTTTTGTATATTGAAAGTGTGTCTTAGCCAACAAACCTATCTGAGGCATCCAGACATTCTGCGAGTGGCAGTTTGCTGAACTCCTTGGGCAGTGCTGGCTCTTTCCCTTCATGTAAACACGTTCCACAAATGCCACATGTTCCACATTAAGTGGTTCTACAAAACCAGCCACACATTCTGCTACCACTGACAAGCCACGATACACTCATCCAAAGTATTGCTGCAGATTATTTCAGATTATTTATTCTGCTATTGTGAAAATCATGATGTGATAAAAACCACTGTTACTTACAGAAATAAATACACTGTGTGTTTTAAATAGAGCTATTTCTTTCTCTACCTAACTGTAAAGGGAAGATCTTAGAATTTGGTTGACTGGTGCAATAATTACAAATTAAACTACCTTTATTTTTAGCTCTCTTTATGCACATCACTTTGCCTTCAGCCTAGAAGGGTATGCATCACACTTCAGACCAATTTTTTTCAAGCAGTGGAATACATAAGCCCTTCAAACCAGGAATTCAAGTGGAAAATATAACCAATCCTTAATTGCAGCTGCATCACAACACTAATGGAATTCCACTAACTAGCATTGTATAAAGCCTCATTAGCTCCTCCTACATGCACTAAATATAAATGTGCATGAACAGCAAAAGCAATTTGCCTAATCTCTGAATCAGCTAAATAGCATTTGCACTGAAATTTTGTCTGTATACTAACTTATCTGGTTAAACTCTGGGTCAAACCTGATAAATAAGGAAAATCATAATTATGTTTTATCTTTAGATATTTTGCTATTTTGTTGCTTGCCTGAGAAGGATTCCACTTATACTGTTCAAACCAGTTTATTTCTTTTGGAAAGGATGGACTATTTTAAACATAATTTCAGTTAAATATTTCTGTAGCATCCTACTTTTCTTGAGTCACTAACCAATTTACATCTATGCAAATCCTGAATCCTGAAACACTAAGTTCATTCTTGTGAAGTGCGTTGCATTTACATGGGGTTGTTAAGTCTTGAAAAACATTTTACTGTGTATAATGGCATTGCAATTAGCTGAATGCTGTTCATAAGGCTAATTGCTTATTAAGGTCTTTCTTTTTCCTGTCACTCAGGACAGAAACAAGGGACTGATTTTCTCCCTGAATGTAGTGTACCTACAGTTACTGTATGTTAAACATGCATTGCACTGAAGTGCCAGCTCAAATGCCTCTCTTTAATCCACAGTTTATATGTAAAATATTTTCTCCAAAACCTAGATATCAGGCTAGTTCTTATTTTTAAAAATTTTTGACATGTCAATTGCAGAATCAGAAGTGTTGAGATTTCAGTCTTAGCAGGAATGAAGTGAAGCTGTCTGTTCAACATTTCCTGTCAGTTCTCCACTGCAGCATGCTTGCTAACTTTCTCTGTTCTTGGTTGGGAACTCTGCCAAAAGGAAATGTCAGGAGTCTGTCCAACAATTTGTCTCTTTCAGAATCCACATCCCATTTTGCAATTTGGGATCTTTTTCTGTAATGCCTATTAAGATTCTTACAATAGTAAGGCATCAGGGAAGAAATCTATTCCTCAATGTGTTGTAAAAAAACCAGGAGGATGCTGTAGGTGTAGGAATTCTGAAGAGCTTTAGCAGAGGGACCCCACTCTGGGTGCAGGTTACTGTCCATAGCTGTGAGTGGAGGACTTAGCACTACAGACTTATAAATGTGGAAAAGGCTTTTCCAGCCAGTACTGTGCAAGCTGTATTCTATCAAAAACAATCCATGGAGTTTACAAGTGCCTCAGTTTATAGATTGATCAAATTCTGTATTCATCAGTTTTGATAATGCAGATTATAAGCACATGTAGGAGCATCTGCTTCTGTTTTGTTTATTTGAAGATTATCCCTTAATCATGCAAGATCCAGGTGTGCATTTTCAGATTTGTTGACTCAGGGAAGGTGCAGATAGTATTAAAGACCAGTCACATTATGCTGTAGTTACATTTATATTGTTGCTCCCGTGAAGAATTGAACCACTCAGTGAAGAGAATGGCAAGAAGAAATGTCCTCATTACAGGTTGCTCCTCAGGAATTGGGCTGGCAATAGCTGTAAAAATGGCAAAAGATGAACAGAAAAGATTTAAAGGTAATAATCTATCTGTTCTTTATCTTTACAAAAACATACTACTTGAGATGATGCTGGTTTTTTCTCTGTGATTTAACAGGTGGTTGTATTCAGTTTGGTGACTTGTTTCTGGTTCCTTTCCTCTTCTACTGTCAAGAAAATACAGCGAAAATATACTGATTTCTGTAAGCAGTTGATATTTCTGTACCTTTATTGGAGTGGAACAACTATTGGAACTGAACAGTGTACACGCACATGCAATGAAAAAGGACAGTAGTAAAAACCAAATATCTGAAAATATCTTTAATATTATGCTGCTCTGGGTATACATTCACAGCTGTGGTTAGCTTTGCTTCTGGCTACTAAAATCTGTACCTATACAGGCCCATGCCCACTTGAAGACCAAAGTAATGAATTTAGGTAAACAGTTTGTAAATTTGCATTTTTTCCCTAAAGCACATTTCATTATTCCAAGCCTGTGTAGGCAGGTGAACAAAAGGACTGGGATTTGTCTTGTTGCTGCAAAGCAGGGTGTTTGCTGTGATTGAAAATGGATGGCAAGGTGAACACAGCAATCTGTGAAAATTCAGTCTCTCGTACTTACAGTATTTTACTGCTAACTGACTGGATGCAGATCTAGAGCTTTCTGAGCCATTAGGCTACAATAAAAACTAATTTCAATTTTTGGAAGTGGCTTACAAAATCAAATTTTTTTGCAACCTAAGGAATTATGTCTTTCGTTTTTTAATAAAATGATGGTTGTCCTGCTAAATATTGTGGTGACTAAAAAAAGAAGGAAATCTGGAAGACAGCATTAGGTGTTGAGTACCTAAAAACAATTTAGTGGCATAATTTGATACCCATTTTTTAATATTTTGGTGACAGATCCTTTATATATCATATCTATATGTTCTTCATTATGAAAGCTTCTCTTTAATTTCCCGAGGATTTCAGAACCAGACTGGGAAATTAGTGACAATATATGTTGAAAATAGAATCTTTTAGTTTTTATCTGTTGCTATCACTGATGTTAAGACCTGGATGTAAAAGCGCTGTTCTTTAACACCTGTCAGTAGGAGTGGCACAATGAAGATTTGATTTCTGGTGTGTTGCAGTGTTCGCCACAATGCGGAACCTGGCCAAGAAGGAGCCACTGGAGGCAGCTGCAGGTCACAGGCTGGGCAAAACCCTCGAGATTAAACAACTGGATGTCTGTGATGAGCAGTCTATTAAAACCTGTGTGAACAGCATCCCTGACAGAAGGATCGATGTCCTGGGCAAGTACAGGATGTGTGTGCTATCAACAGATACCAGAGTTCTGCAAAACTGTCTCAAATACCCTGGAGAAGGTTCATTAGTGTATTTTTTAAATTATCAAAGTAATAATAATTACGTAGTATATTTGATTCAAGATTCTCAAGACTTTAAGCAGACATAAGTGCATTAAATCTCACCCTGCTCGCATGAAGTAGGGAAGCTGGTTTTCCCTGTTTACTAAGGAGAAACTTGATCACAGGGAAGTGTCTTGGATAAAACCATACATTTTTTAGTAAATGTAAATGAGTAAATGAGTTTAGTAAATGAGAAATTTAGTTAGTTAGTTTAGTAAATGTGAGAAATTTTGCCTAAACTGGCACCTTCATGAGCGAGACTTTCCACCCTATTGATGAAGCATAGTTACAATGAGGGTAACCCTTGTCTGTACTAAGAAAGCAACAGCATTGGGAATTAGCAAGTAAACAAACAAATGCAAAAAAAATTAGGGATATTTCCATTTTGTATTAAGAATTGAAATTGTACTTTACAAATCATTCAGCAACAAGTGTTTTCATATCGTTTTGCTAAAAATAAATACTAGTATCTTAGTGGAAGTGCTTACACCATCAGCTATTAAATCTTACCTACTAGGAAATTATGGATCTGCCTTTTTTCTGATTAATTATTAAAGCAGTGCTTAACAAGTATTTCTGCAAAATTTATTATACTCTAATTTGATGTACTACTTCTAGAGCAGAATGCCAGTCCTAGCATCATTCCCCACTTATAAATATCCAGGAGGCAAATAAAAATCAATGGAATTGTGTGTTTGTTTATTTTGTTGGGGGGTTACTTCCTCTTGAAGATACATGAGTGTTATTAAAAGAAAAACCAGACCAAAATATGGCTTGGTCTGTCACTTTTTGAAGATTTCTATTAATTCCTATGAGTATTGACTGTAGCTACCAATTCTCAATACTGAATTATAAAAAAAATACAAGTAATTCTTGACTCATTTTTCTGTAATCCCTTTATATTTTTTTGAAGAAGGACTATTGAGAAATAAATTAGTTAAAATTATAAATAACAGATAATTTAAATTTGATTAAAAGCACAATTAAAAAGAAAGACATATGGAAATCTCAAATGTGCTTGGAATGCTCTAGTGACTAACATCTTTTAATCCTTTCTTTAAGGATTATTTAGGCTCATTTAATCCTTAATCCTCACTTTCCTTTCAAATGCTTTCCAATAATGATTACAAGTTTATGTTTATGGATGTTTTTGCTTGCTGTTGTCTCCCATTTTGTGCAGTGAGCAATGCTGGAATGGGGCTCATTGGGCCTATTGAATGTCAGAGCATTGAGGAAATGAAAACTGTGATGGACACCAACTTCTTTGGCCTGGTTCGGCTCCTGAAGGAGATCCTGCCTGACATGAAGAGGAGAAAGAGTGGGCATATAGTAATCATAAGCAGTGTTATGGGAATACAAGGTAAAGCTGGTTTTCCTCTTTACTTGAACTAAGAGTTCAGTGTTCAAAATCCAAAGCTTTCCTCCTTTTAGGGAAAAAAAAAAAAAAGTAGGAGCTGGCATATCTGACTCTTGTGCTTTGTAATGCTGAAGGTCCAACTATAAAAAGCAGCTGGTGAGTTTTATGCATCCAGATACTTTCACAGCATTTTAGCAACAAAACCTGCAGGGTCTTTTTCTTTTAGAGTTTTAACTTAAACTCTACAATTTAAAAAAAAATTGGGTTGTGTTTTTATTATCTGGAAAATAGGGCTTAGCCCTAAAGGGAAAATTACTTTTCTCTTGGAAAAAATTAGGGGAACAGACAAACATGCTTACTATGCTCTGCACAGATGTAATAGAATAAAATCCAATCCTGGACAACTGTACGAGCTTTTTGTAAAGTTTCTCATCTCACAACACTTGAGAGTCAAATTTTAGTAACAGATAATGATAGTCCTACTCTTGTGTCCCATCCTGTCTGGCTGGGTTTTTTTAGTTTTTTTTTATTACAACTGTGGCATTGATCTTACATGGATTATTCTGCAGAGCCAAGGGTCCTCCATCAGTCTCCAAGAATTGGTATTTTAATACAACACTTACCCTCCACCTCAATGGACTGATGTAGTGCTTTTTCTAAATCACTCAGATGCAAGCTGGATTTCTTGCATAATTGTATCTCCTGCATTACACTCAGCCTCTGTTTTCATCTAGAGCCTATTAAAGTCTTGTTGATAAATAATGCAGATGGTATTATATTTACAGACACTTTCATATCTTAGACTGCAAAATAATATCATCCAAGGAGACCACAGCATCAGCTAGGGGGAGGAAAAGCATTAGTCAAGCATCTTTGCTAGACTAAGCAATTTTGAGAACATTGCAAAAATTAGTATTTAGATTCAGTGTGCACAAGGATTTTTCTAATGTTTTTCCAGCATGACTGTAGAAATTTTGGGATGAGTTCTTAAAATCAAACTATTAGTATGTTGGATGAAATCACATTCTCAGGATGTTCTGTTTGTACCATCAGGTATCTTATTTAATGATGTTTATGCTGCATCTAAGTTTGCTGTGGAAGGATTCTGTGAAAGTTTAGCTATACAAGCACTCAAGTTCAAACTTCAGTAAGTATTGATCCACTGGTGTAAATGGCATTGATCCACTGGTGTAAATGGCATTGATCCACTTGTGTCAATTGTATTTTAGATAGTTTAAAATATATTCAGAGGTAGGGAAAAAAATCTTTAAAGCTTGCTGCTAAGCAGACTGAGAAGCCCTTGAAAACTGCACATCACAAAAGGCATAGAAATGACCACACTCTTCACATTATATAAGCAAATAAAAAGATCTAGATGTTAGAATAAACATGTTCTCTTGAAGGTTAATAGTTAAAGGCTATTTAGCTTTGGATAAAATACAGTTCACACAACACTTCTGAAAACAGATTCTTACATACAGTATCACAGAAATAACATCACTGTGATTTTTCCCCTTAGAAAGGACAATGGCCTTCTCAGGCAATTCACAGATAAAAAAGTTCAAGGGCTCATCAGAGAGAGTGAGCAAGTGCAAATCCATGAGAGTGTTACAGGGTGAGATACCTGTAATGAAGGAAGGTGGGAGGGAAGGGAGAAGTGTGATGTACTATTCCTAGCATTTTAGACAGAATTTAGGAGACCAGTCCTGTTCATCATCTGTGGGACTTCAGGTTTGATTTGTCACATGTATATTCACACTTATTTAATTCTGCTACTATTCTTTGTGCAAACTCCAATAACTGGTAAATATCCATTGCATCTCTGTGTGTCTGAGCATTTAGGCCTTGTTGAACAAAAGACAGCTGCTGTTGTGGAATTTCAGAGACAGAACTGATTCTGCATATTGCTTTGCAAAGTTGGGAGGGATTTAAAATAAATGTAATAATACCTAATGTAATAATACATAATAATGATGTAATAATACATAATAATGATATACCACAATTCATAATGAAATTTCAAGAGTATAAGACACAGCAAACAGGAGGTTATAAAAGGAAGTATAAAAAGATTGATTCAAGGTCTAATGGGAAGAGTGATGGAAGAGAAAGGGCTTTAATTCCAGCAGTAGCTGGAATTCTGCTGTGAAGGTCAACAGCTTGATTTAGTTCTAAAGAAGAGCCTTTAGAACATCACCTGAAGAACTCAAATCCAGTAAGAGACCCAACCCCAAGGAGTGTTTTGATAAACACAGTGGCTGGGTGTTATTACTGCCTGAGAAAGAACCAGGAAAAATCTGACCTGGAACTGTATTTCAGTGATTTGCTATAATACACTACTGGGCAAAAGAAAAACCTTCAGATTTGGCAGCAGCCAGAATCTGTGCACCCACAGTAAAAATCTCTGTATTGTATTTTATTATTATATAGTGGTGGGATCTTAAATTATGTAACACTAACACCTTGACAAAGAAAATCCATGTTTGGGCAACTCCCCCATCTCTTTCAGCTACTTCTAGTATTATCATGAGAAACAAAGAAACCTGTGCAGGATTTGGTCCAGGAAGTAATGAATTTTGTTACCATACATTAATTCTTTTTCTTAGTATCTGGTAAGTCCTTGTGAATAAATCACCCTTAGATTCCACAGCTGTGAGACAGCAGGTAACAACTGCACTCACTTCTGTCATGAATTAAGTTACAGCACTTCTCTGAATATTAAGCCGTGCAAGTTTCTACTCCTGTGTGTGTGTGGGTAGGAGGAGCAGGACATCAGTGATGCAGTAAGGATTGCCTTTACAGAAAGTGCTCTTGTTTTATACTGCTTGCTAGTGCAATTTGTCATGCTCCTTTTGGAGAAGGATTGAGGGGTGTATTTTCCATGGAGAATAGTCACAACCAGTTAACTTTTTTTTTTTTTTTTTTTTGAACAGGTTAAGTTTGATTGAACCAGGCCCAGTGGTTACAGAATTTGAAAGAAAGGTTTTTGAAGATGGAATGAAAATGGATCTTTCAGCTGCAGATGAAGAAACAGCTGAGATGTTTACTAATATTTACCTTAAAAATTACAAGCAAATTTTCCAGAGCCTGGGACAAAGTGCTGAAGATGTTGCAGAGGTAACTCATCAAAAAATCATCTTCTTTTCTTTGTTGGTTTTTTTGCTTTGTATTTTATGAATGCAGTGGTTGATTGGTAGGTTTTTCTGGTAGAAGCATTCAATTTAATTAAATGTAATGTATGCAATTAAAAAGTTTTTTTTTATTCAAAAGAATTGTCAGTCATTAAACAAAAGTCTAAAAAATACTAAAAGAATGTTCATTTTGAAGTATTGAAGATAATTATGAATTGTGATTTCAATACCACTGAGATATTAGATGCCCTTTACATCGTCTGGTGAAGTCTGAATATTCTGCATTGTTCCCATACATCCACCCAGGGTTCCCAGCCCTGGTTAAGCTCTATCCTTCCCATCTCACTCAGGATCCCTCTGCTGAGGGAAGTTCACACAGCCACCCCAGGGCCACAAGGCACAATAAAAGAATCATGGATGTTTCTGGTGCTTGGAGCTTCCTGCAGGAAGACAAGTTTAAGCAAGCTCTGGGAGGGGATGATGATTTCAGGAGTTTGCTGCTAAGGAATAGCTTCAGTGTCAACTGAAGATTCCCAGATCTTGCTGCAAAAGGCACTGTCCTGATCCTTTACCAGTGACCTGCAAAAGAGAGGATCTACCTACTGTGGGCATATCAACCCACAATTGTCTGGAAGGCTACTCAGGATACTGAGTTGTCAGCTGCTATCACCATGGTATAGAGAAACAGAAATAAAAGAATAAATAAGAAATACTTCTTATGACCTTTGAATATTTCAAGAAGAATTTCTAATGATGTTCTAATAAAACTATACGCAGTGTTTTACATAATTCTAGCACTTTATTCTTCTACTTTTCCCCTGAAAATTGGATTTTTACTTTACTATCATGGTAAAGGTTCTTTTAAAATTCTATTTCTCCTTCTCTACAGCACACAGTAAAGATAATTCTTGCAGAAAATCCACCTTTTCGCCATCAGACCAACACCTTGTATACTCCAATGACAACTTTGAAGTATGCAGATCCAAATGGAGATCTACCCATTGACATATTCTACAAAATGGTTTTTCAGCATGACAAAATCTTCAGTGCAAGTCTCAACTTCATCAAATTGCTAAGGTGGAGAAGCAGAAAGAGCTTTGACCTGGGAAAACCTTCACAATAAGAATGAGATTATATAGTGCAAATTGGAATTACTTGTTGTAGCTACTGATGACACAGTGTTATTCAAATGCCTTTGCTCTGTAATTATGAAAAGGCATGCAAGATATTTGTTTGAGCTTAGCTAAGATATTAATTTCAATGTGTATCTCTTGAATGTTACTGTTTGCAGAACCTTGCAATTAAAATCCTCTAACTGTAGTTTCGTTGTGTTTAGTGTTTGCTTTTTCCAGAGATATTTTCTCAGGAACAGGAACACTGACTGGTATTTGTGTATTCAATATTAACCTGACCTCCTTCACTTACTTGTATATAATACATACAGAGAGCTGTACAGTATGCAAATGATTTAGATTCTTAATATCATAAAAATGTTTTTACTTATCAGGATAGTGAAGCAAAGTGAAAATTTTCCAGGATAGAAATCCATTTTAATTTAGGTGAAATGTACATTTTTGACTTGAGTCTGTGGTTAGAAATTGTAGTTATTTAGCCAGACTGCAAGGCCTAAGCTCAGTGAATTTACTTCAGCGAAGGACAGAGATAAAGGGGAGGAGACAGAAGATGATAGAGAGAGACAAGGACTGCTGTAAGGGCAAGTCAGCCTGACCTCGGAATTCTTTCTGATAAAAAGGAACTAGTGGTAAAAGTCACACAAAACCCATAAAAATGAATATGTATGAACCTATTGTGAAACTGTATGCATATGTATTTGAGAGGGGGATAAAAGGAGATCTGAAGTTCTCAGAGGTACGCATGCCTTTTGAGGAGAGTTTTCTCTGCATGTGTCCAGTGCCGTAATAAACATACCGAGCTTTACAACTTTTATAAAGTTGTGAGGTTTCTTCTTTTCTCCGCAAAATAGAATTGCTACAGTAATCACTCTATCACACTGGCATTCTCATTTCCAAAGTCAGATCTATTTATCAGCAATGTAAGAGAAAGTCTTATCAATCCTAAAGTGTAACTAGTAGAATATTTATTATTCATATATATTATAATATTCTGAATGCTTCCTTTATATGCAGTGGCTACTAGCATATTGCACTTAGTGAGCAATAAAATGTTTTTTTAAAGCATCCTAAAATAAAATATCTTCTTACTGTCTGGGTACTACATTTTGAAAACAAAGCATTGTCAGTAATAAGCAATCTCAATCCACTCAATGCCTTCAGTCCTTTCGGTGTCTGACGCAGAACCCTCCTGTTCCAAGCTATCCTAGTAAGTATGTGTTATACCAAAATTCTCTCATGGAGATCAGGTCTTTTCCCTTGCTTGGTCTCAGCCGAGTCCTCTCAGCGGCCGAGGCCGAGCAAGGATGGTGGCTGCAGGGCATTCCCCGCTGCTGCCCGGGGCATTCCCGTGCCCTGACCTGGGGCCGCCTCTCTGCCCGCGGAGGCACAGGCCGGGTGTCCCTGGGGCCTGCGGGCTTTGGCTCCTCGGCACGCGGCAGCAGCTGTCCCTGGCTCACCCACAGAGCCCAGCGCAGCTCCCTCCCATGCCGGAGCTGTCCTTCTCTTTCCCTCAGCACTGTCTCACAGAGCCAGAATCGAATTCCGTGCTGGGACTTGCAGCAGCCCCGCCCTGCCCTGCCTCTCCCAGAGGAGCTTAAAGCTCCTGCGGGTACCAAGTACTGCGGCTAACGCAGGGCTCGAATGCAGGGCTCGCTGTGCAGCTGTGACCCTTTTGGTGGGGCCCGGGGTGCCGGGGCTTGCAGGGACCTCCCTGGGGCGGCAGGCCGGGGACTGAGGGGACAAGAGCGTGCGCAGCAGCCGCTGTGCACAACTGGAGGCCCCAGGCAGTTCCTAACTCACACCTCCTGGGAAACACCGGGTGCCCGGAGCCCAGCAGAGAGGGGGAACAGCAGCGAGGCTGAAAGGAGAGAGCGGGGATTGAATGACAGCAGAGTGCTGGTGGGGCTGAAGGGAGCCTGGCAAATCCCCGCTCTGCAGGCCGAGATCTCCTCGGCACCTGCTGAGGGCCTGCGCAGGGTACGGGACAGAGGCATCCACAGAAGGGCTGGGCCTGCCGGGAGCCCCTCGGTGCTGCTCAGCTGTGGCTGTCTCTGGCCTGCACCTCGGGCTGGGCTGCATTCCCGGGCGCGTTTTTCCCTTTGCAAGGCAAGACCAGGACTGTGGGTTTAATGAGCCTTCCACAAACACTATCGTGGTCTGGCTAATTCTGTCTCATACAACCATCACACTACTGGTTATGGAGTGAAAGCAGAAAATAGAGTGTAATAGATGGCTGCCGAGGAAAACCAGCTCTTCCTGCAAATCGTGAATTAACTGCGGATGAAGCACCGAGCCTGTCCTGCTTCGGGGACAAGCCTGGCGGGGCTGTCGGATCCCCTGCCACTGCCGGAGCCGAGGGGAAGGGCAGGGGGCTGGGTGGGGCCCGGGCGCAGCTCCCGGCGCAGGGGGCGGCTGAAGGACCCCTCACTGCCGCCGCTGCCGTCCGCACGTGGCACCGAGGCCTTTCCGGCGCTCCCGGCGGCGGAAGCTGTTCCGGCTTCCGGCGGAAGCGCCGTCCCTCGCAGGTTGAGCCGGAGTCGGAGCGTTTCCGCCTCGCGGCCGCCGCACGCCCGGGGCCAGCCGAGCCCAGCCGAGCCGCGCCGCGCGCGGGGCGTTCCGCCGCTCGCCTCCCCTCAGACCGGTCTTAAGGCAGCGGCGCCGGCGGCCGAAGGATGTGGCGGCAGTGGCAGGCGCCGCGGCCGAGGGAGCCCTGAGCCCGAGCAGCGCTTCCCGGCCCCGCGACCCCCCGGCCCGGCAGCGACCCCCGGCCCGGCCCCCGCCGTCCCCCGCCCCTCGGCGACGCCGCCCTCCGCGGCCCCGCCCGCCCCCGCCGGGTCCCCGCGCCCTGGAGCCCCGCGCGGGCGCTGAGCGCAGCCCGTGAGCCGAGCGCAGCCAGGATGGCCTCGTCGTCCGGCAACGACGACGACCTCACCATCCCCAGGGCTGCCATCAACAAGATGATCAAAGAGACGCTGCCCAACGTCCGCGTGGCGAACGACGCCCGGGAGCTGGTGGTCAACTGCTGCACTGAGTTCATCCACCTCATCTCCTCCGAGGCCAACGAGATCTGCAACAAATCGGAGAAGAAAACTATCTCCCCGGAACACGTCATACAAGGTGAGCAGCCGCGGCCGCCGTGCTGGGGCGGGCACCTGTGAGCCGCTCCTGTCCCGCACCGCTTTTTGCTCTCCTCTGCTCTCCGCTTGCCTGTAGCTACGTAGGACACAAAGGCAGGGCTGGTGAGGGTGTGGAGGAGAAGCGTGTGCTGTCCGGCTGGCCAGGCGCACTGTAGGAGAGGCTGTCTTTGTGTGGTTAGAGCGGCTGCTGGCTGTGCTCAGGACCAGCTCCGGTTTTGTGCTTCAGAGAACCTGCGGTGCTGTGAGTGAAGTCGCCAAATCTCTTCCTCGTACCTATGAAACGAGGTCTGCTTTTTCGAATGGAGACCTCGTGTTTTAAGAATTTGAATGTAGTAAATGTCTTTATAGTCGGAGATTGATTATGTGGGGCCCAGGCTTTATTCCATGGCAGTGTTGTCTGAAATCTCTAAAGAGTATATTTCTTTAGGGCTGTCCTTACAGTCTCATTGTTTAATGTTGGATCTTCGTATCTGTTGCAGAAAGCATTTAAACGTGACCTATGCCCTTGTATCTTTCTGTGCTGTTGACTTGCACTTCTGCTTGCTTGAATAAAAGGCGAGTTCTCTCTCTGTCTCGTTTGTTTTTCTTTAAATTCTGTCGCAAATAAGGATTTTTCTTGCCTCATCCTGAAGTCTGCATTAGGCATAGTTTTTTGTCAGAACTCATTTGCTTTGCTTCTTAAGCCGGGATTGTTGATACCGGGGTTTCCTGCAAGCACATTTATAGCAGCAGTAGTGAAAGAGTACTTTACTCGGCTACCTAGTAGAGATATTTACAGCAGCATTTGTAGTACAGCTGTTTTCAGGGCTGTGATGATATCGAGTTAATTTAAAAAATGTTGTGGTTGTATGATTTTTAAAGTAATATTTGCTGTTTAAGCAAAAAAGAAAATTGGTTCGCTTGAAATTTATTAACTTGCTCACCAGAAGAGGTTCAAGTACTTAACTGGGTCATGAACTGCAAAAGAAAATATGTAGCATGTACGAGCTTTAATGTTAGATGAAATGCACGTAAGCTTGCAAGTTTAGTAAAGTAGCTCCATCACAGAAGCCTAGGATGTAAAGTAAAACCTGTGCTTGCACATGGAAGCATTCTTTAGGTGTGATGCTCTTTAATAATACTTGGGTAGTTTTTTCAAGTCACTACAAAAAACATTTGAGGATAGTTCTTAACACAAGCATATACATGATCTTTAAGATTGAGGGCAGTAAAGGATTTATGTATGAAAGTATTTTGTACCCAGTAGTGGTGGTCTGTAGAAATAAATTCACCTATTTCTGTCCTAGGCTTAGTCTGGGTTTTCTGGAGAACAAACTGAAACTAAAGTGGATGTACATAACGTCAGCAGATGGTCCCGTGCCAAGTATTTTGCTGGGTTCTATGTCCTTGTGTTATCACGTCTTAGGGTTAGAAAAAGTTATTTTCAAATTAAATCTATACTTTGTAGTAAATCATTGCAATGTATCAATTTTTGTAATGTTCTAGAGATGGAATGGATTTTCTGCTTTGCTTATGTTTAAGGAAGCTGTAATTCCTATTAGCTCCTTTCAGATGCTGGTCAGCTGGCAGATGATCCCTCTGTGAGGTTTGAGGGCTTTGGCTGCCAGTTTGGAAACAGTGATTGTGTGTATAGGTAGAGTATTTCATCATTTTCATCCATCTTCATACATTCTAGATACTTGCTATTTTGAATGCCTCTTTATGCAGCAGCCTCACAACAATGATGGAACAAATGAGGTAATTGAAATCTGTTGGTTGTGGTCTCCCATGTATCTTTTTCCTTCTGAGTGCTTAGAATCAGTGAGGCTAATGGCCACACCTGGTCCCGCCTGAGCACGAGGTGCTGCTCAGAGGAGGCTTTTGGTTCTCTCTGAGAGCTGGATCTGGCATTGCAGATACAAGTGACCCTGTGGCTTTTGAGAGTTTAGGGCAGAGCAGGGCTTCCTCTCAGGTGAGTTTGCTGGCTGACTGGGGCTGTAAACTGTAAACAAGAAGTTCCTAGATTGGGAGCAAGAAGCAGGAAGGTGTTTTGCTGGGCCAGAAGAGGGGGAAGAGGCACTGCAGCTGGTGACGCTGCCACTGGACTGTGTGGAGGTGAGGTGAAGCTGCCCTTGGTCACTGTGCTGAGGTGTTTGGCACGGTGGTGCTTGAGACACCCCTTCCTTTGCTGCCCTGTTCAAGTGCTTGTGTGGCCCTGTGCTGAGCAGGAGCTCTCTCCACCCTTGGGTTATACCTCAGATAGATGAGGTGCTTGCTTGTTACTGTGTGGTGCCACTGGCATGGTGCTGTCAACAGCCTAGGGAAGGGAAAGCAGAGGCTTCTTGCATCCCATTAGAGACCTGATTTGATAGATGCTCTCAGACTGTGCCAACACTCACTGCTGGTAACAAAATGCAGGACAGCTTTCTTGGATAATACCCAAAAGCATCAAGACTATGTAATAGTTGTAAGTGGAGATCGCCACGTTTGTTGTTGAGTTCCACCATCAGGAACCCAGCTGTGAATCTGCAGCTCTGGAAAGCAAATGAATGTTCTTCCATCCTGGAACAGAAAATGCAATCATTTGAGTGTTATATGACTTGTGACAAAGCAGGCTTTTTAGGAGAAATGCAATTTTCGTTGAATTCTGAAAATGATGACTTGTAAAATCACCTTTTTTATGAAGTTGGTTACTTTGATTACTTGGTCTACATGGAATTGTTGTGCAGTAAGGCAGGCTGTGGATTGATGTCTTCTGTGGATTGT